TTATGAGGGTCGAGTAACAAGACTTCTTTCAAATCAATTATATAAGCCCTATGGCACTTATCACAGCTATACACAAACAGTAGGCACAAATATTTGTCAAACACTTATAAATGTCAATGTAAAAATACACGAGAGTTTGTTTATTCACTTTATAAAAAAAAAAAGGAGATTTACTAGAAACTTCTTTTAAGTAGTAGCTCCTCTATGTGGAAATGTTTTAAAGTGTTAGTCTAGAAATTAACTATTCATCAAAAGGCTGAAGTAGCAGTTGGTGGGAGAAAATGTTGAAGTTATTGGGTTAGAAGTCATCAATTGCAGATCAATAAGAAATGAAATCATGAAAAAAATCAATGAGAAAAATCTCATTTACATCAATGTTTTGGAAATATTTTAGTTGTGTGAACTGGTTCCCATTTTTTCTTTTTTCTCTTTCCTGGAGACAGGAGCTCACTCTGTCACTGAGGCTGGAGTGCAGTGGCATGACCATAGCTTGCTGCGACCTTGAACTCTTGGGCTCAAGTGATCCTCTCACCTCAGCCTCCCAAGTAGCTGGGACTACAGGTGTGCCCCCAGCTAGTTTTTCCATTTTTTTGTAGAGATGGGGGTCTTGATATGTTGCCCAGGTTGGTCGTGAACTCCTGGGCTAAAATAATCCTCCTGTCTCAGCCTCTTAAAATGCTGGGATTACAGAAGTGAGCCTGCATCTTGCCTGGCTCATATTTTTATAAAGATGTAGTCTGTGTTCTTATTTGCATTTTAAATGGCATTCTCCTGAGGGTAACTGATAGGAGATAAAAGTTTAGGTCTAGTTTCGGACTGTGGCTCTACCCATCACCCACCGTGAACTAGGGCTGGTTATTTAACCTCTCAGAGTCCTCTCATTTATAAAAATAGGGTAATAAAAAGGGTAAAAATAAAATAAAAAATAAAAATAGGGTAATAAGAATAATAAAGTGGAATGTGCTTGTAGTCCCAGCTACTCAGGAGACTGAGGCAGGAGGATTGCTTGTGCCTAGGATTTCAAGGTTGCAGTGAGCTGTGATCATGCTACTGCATTCTAACCTGGGTGAAAGGGCAAGACCCTAAATCTAAAAATAAATAAACAAAATATTTTTTGATAGGATATTATGAAGCTTAAACAAAGTAGTATATAAAGCAATTAGTTAAGTATTTGCAGCCAGTAGGTGACCAATCAATAGCCGATGATAGTATTCTTTGTTCAATAGGGAGAGAATTGAGTGAAAAGGATAAAGAGAGGCCTGATTGTTTACTTAAGAGGCTTAGAGGTACCAGAGGAAGACCTGTGCAGAGGTGAGTGACTGTGCTCAGCTGGTAAAAGAAGAATGAGCATTTTGAATGATATAGATGGCACTGAAAGGTTGGGAGATGTAGGGTAAAGTTGGGCTACTTTCTGGACAATCATTTGGAGGTTCTTCTTGGATAACTTTAAGTTATCAAGTTTAATTTATAGATTAAATTATCACTTCGACTAGAATGGATTTTTCTTTTTTTTTTTTTTTTAGACAGAGCCTGAAGCTGTCCCCCTGGGTAGAGTGCCGTGGCATTACAGCTCACAGCAACCTCCAACTCCTGGGCTCAAGCGAGTCTCCTGCCTCCACCTCCCAAGTAGCTGGGACCACAGGCGCCCGCCACAACGCCCGGCTATTTTTTGGTTGCAGCCGTCATTGTTGTTTGGCGGGTCTGGGCTGGGGATTCGAACCCGCCACCTTAGGTGTACGTGGCTGGTGCCTTAGCCGGTTGAGCTATAGGCGCCGAGCCTAGAATGGATTTTTCGTAGGTAATAAAAGTATCATCCTCGGGATTTCAGATTTTAGTGACAAAAAAGAAAATCTGGGAGAAAAGTTGAGAACACAGGCGACTTTACTTTACAGTGTTGCTCTCTGTCCCTGCCGGTACCCCATCCTCACCTCTATCAGACACATAACGTTTCCATGCTAAGTTAGAGTGTGGAAACAAATTGTAAGGCTTGACAGTAGAATTAGGTGGAAGAGAATCAGCTGATCAGAAGCATGTTGAATGATGGAAATAGTGAAGCAGTGAGTTCATGCAGTGGGTACTGTAGTGCCCCGTGTTAAAATGGGATTTGGGAAAGGTCAGCCAAAAGAAGCGGGGACTGATCTGGAAGTAGGATGAGGGTTACTCTCAAGTGACTGAGAGTTATTATCGTTATCAGAGCAAGAGACCAGGTGGGTCACAGCTATCAGATATTACTGTGTGAAAATTCGATAAAAAGTTCTGCTGCTGATATTGAACAATTACAGTGATTTTCTAAATTCCAGTAAAAATGTGTTTAAAGGTTTTCATTTTGTGAATTATTATTAAACATTTTATATTTCCTACCTTATAAAAAGTTGCAAACAAATGTAGAAGAAAACATTTCTTAAAAATACATTATTTTCTAACATGTGGAGATCTGCATAAGCATGATCAGATCAGCACAACCAGATTTAGTGCTAGTAAAATTGTATCAATTTATTAAATCTATTAATATTTCATGATGCTCCACAATGAGGAGCATAATTTTTATGTGCTGGCACCCAAACTAGTTTAAACCACCATACTCCACCCCTGACTGCTTTTTGTTATTTTTCATGGGAAGGAATGTTACTAGCCTCAGAGAAACTCACAGGGCAAGGATTAGATACAAAGTAATCTTAAAAATATTTAATGAATTAAAAAGTCCAAAGGAGAATTAAATAGGGTAAATTCGAGCATAAGAAGGATGACATAACACAGAGCACTTATGTCGTAAGTATTTTCCAGAATTTCATTTAATCTTTACAACCTTCCTGTGAAGTGTCATCATCCACATTAGATACATAGATGAAGAAAAGAAGATTCATAGAATTGCTCAAGGTCACATGGTTGGTAGGTGGTGGGTGAGACTGAGATTCAAACTTTGGTTTTCTCCAATGATGATGCACTCCAATGCTTCTTTGGGCTTATGTGATTTTTTATAAACTGAGATAAAACGCACAGATCATTTTGCAATCTCTATATACACCCTTGTAACTATATCAAAATACTGAACTTTTTCAACAACCCAGAAGGATCTCTCCTGTTTCCTCTCAGTCAATTCCCTGGTAAGTAATCACTACCCTGCCTCTGCCACCACAGATAGATGGGTTTTAGTTAGATTAATCTAACTTTTTGGAGTTAGATTAACAAAAGATTCCATATGCCAGCCCTTCACCTTTCCATTTTTGCTGTAGTATTTAAAACTGCTTTAGCTCTGACTTTTCAAGCAATCACTGTTAAGATGAACTGTTGGACCTGGTTTCATATTCAATTTCCTTAATTGTTTAGTTAATTATTCTGAAATTAATACTAATTTTCAAAAAACTCAAAGAAACTCCTAGAAATAGTGCCGCTAGATTCCAAGCACTGTTACCAAACCAACCTCTCTCTACCGTAGAAGCTCCACAGACAACAGCTTCCTTGACTGATGTAATTAGGTGCATCTATTTCCAAACATGGCATCTCATTAGGAAGTGGATGACCAGGAAAGGTCATCTCAGTTTCTGGGAGGGAGGATGAACCAGGCAGTTATGTAGTAGTGACTGCCTCGCATCATCTCGCAGCAAAAGTAAATGTTTTATGTCTCAGATACCTCCCAAAGTTGACTTGCTGTTTTATGACAGGAAAGAAAGAGTAAAGGCGAAGAAGGTCTAGGTGGTGGGGGACATATGACCAATATTCTTCCATGTGGCTTTAACGTAGTGGCTTTATGTACCTTGTCGACTAGCTCTTCAAATTATTTCTCATCCAACCTGGCAGTGATAGAAACAGCGTCACAATTTTACCTCAGGCTCGAAAGCTGTGGTTGGTGAATTTTCAGCAATTATTCTAAAAAAAGTCTTCCTTCTTCCCCCTCCCAGTGGCCCCCCTTTTCTCATTCTGATTCCCACCACAGCCAAACACCGCCTCTTGAAGCAGTCTACAAATTACAATTGCGAATCAAGGGAAGAATAACTGACACTTGTAGGCTTCGATAACTCTAGGCGTGATATGTGCCTAAGGTGACAGAAGTGTGGGGGAAATCTGGAGGAACGTTCGGGCCATCAAAGCAGGACAGGCCCCGAAGTGGGTGCACGTGACAGCAGCAGACACCTCGAGAGTGACATCACCCCCCGGGGGCGGAGCCTAACTATGCAGGGCCTGACCAGCTACTGAGCTTCCTCCCCGCTTCCCCACCAAATGCCATCCACCCCACCAGTCAAAGCCCCCTGAGGAAACAAGAAATGCCAAGACATCTCAGCTCGCCAGAGCCAGCGCACCATCTTCCCGCGCAGAGAAGGGTTTCGTCTCCTTTCTCGCCCCCGGCGACTCCCCGCCCCCCAACTGGGGAGGAGGCGGGGG